CTTAAGTGGAGAGGAAATGTTTTGAGAATGATGAGGGCAATGAATGTACAAATGCGCTTTACACAATTGATGTATGAATGGGTTGTGATAAGAGTTGTATGAGCCCCTAATAAAATGATTTAAAAATAAAAGAGAGATCACCTGCCCTCTGGGAAAGGTGCTAAATTTTTCCCAGGCTGTTTCCCATTTATACTCTTGCTCTTGTGTTCACAGCTGACTGTCCCGTTTTCCACACTTCAAAATAACAAATGCAAGCCCCTCAGAAATCAAAATGGCATGAGTCTGAGGGCTGAGCTCCCCCTTACCGTGTGTACTACACACTGTGGGCCCAGAATGAATAAGGCATGAGCGGGCAGTGCTTGTTTGTTTACACAGACTTGCTGTTGAGTCATTAAGTCCGAGTTGCAACCTGCTTCCTCCCTGCTTTTGCCCTGAAGCGCTCTGCCTTAGAAGACTTTAATTGCTGCTGCTGCAGCCACTGGGAGGCTTCCCTGTCTCGCACCTGGTGCAGGAGACACAAATGCTGTGCTCCCCTCCAGCGGGGTCCACAGTACATCTGCGGGAACCTGTCATTATCTACAACTGCCTTGTCACACCAGGCAGCCCCTCCCAGCCCGCCTGCCCTGGGAGAGGACCCTTGTCAGTTTCCCTGGCACCTGCAGACTGCTGCACACCTGCCATTTAAATGGCACTGGAATGTGTTGTGATTGTTTTCCCTTTTTAATGAACCCACCTGAGGGACATTGTGCTTTTTTCGTTTAATCCAAGAGCCTGTTACCCAGGCTTTTACATCCACGCCATTTGTGTAGTGGTTCAAACACTCAGTGGTATTGTTACATTCATCCATCTGCCAGCAGTTTTATAACCAAATCTGTGAGGGTCCCGAAGGAGATTTTTGCACCGGTAATTTGAGCTAATGATTTCTAAACATATTTAGTCAGTTTTTGAAGACCTCATTAGGATGTGACTGTTTATTAAAAATCCAAATTAGGTCTCAGAGTCATTTAGGAAATTTATTGTTGAGTTTGCAGTGAAGAGTTCTGATAACAGGTGGGAGAATGTTTGGGAGCAAAGAGATATAGGAACCAGAAATGTTAACCTCGATCAATAAAGAGTTCTGTGGAAGCTACTGAAATGGATGCTTGAAAGAACATGATCAACTTACAAAGGTTAATCTAACTCCCTTCACGAATTTGTCACTAAAAAAATTAGTGAGAGAAAAATGTCAGGTGAACACCAGATTTCCAAATTCACTTTCTAATGGACCTGCAAGGATAATACATGGTGATTCCAAGTGGCACTGTCACCACAGCAGCTGTTCTGCAATAGCAGTAGGTCCCGGATGGAGAGAAGAGGAAAGGGGAGGCAGGATGGTCCCTTTATAAAATATGTACATATTGCTTACAAACAAGAATGACTTAAGTCATACCTAACAATGCACAAGAATGGTAACACCTCTAACAAATTCTCTCCAGTTGTTCTAAAGCATCCAAGTCCGATATCAAAGGGAAGAGGTAAATTATCTGTACAGACATTGCAGAACAGTTTCTGTTTTGAGTACTCACTTTTATCATTCACAGACCTTTTTAAAATGAGCTAGATAGTGAAGGATGGTATTTTGTATTCCATTCTGCTTTATTGCTTTTTTTTTTTTTGGTCCTTTTTTACACATTGATGATTTGTGGCAACCTGCGTCAGGGTCCTTGTCCAGCGGCACGTGCTTACTTTGTATGTCTCTGTCACATGGGGGAAGGTCACAAAGTCTTTCACAATTTCTCATAATGCTATTGCACACCTAATAGAATGCATTTAGAGTAAGCATACATTTCATATACAGAGAAAATCAAGTGTGTGTGTGTGTGTGTGTGTATAACTTGCTTAAGTGCCACGTTTGCTTTATGGTGGTGGTCTG